ATTCCTCTGTTGATGTAGACTTTGATTTTAAGGACTCCTTGGCATTGTCGGGTCCCCTACTGTGGCCTGCACCAATCTGGGTAAGATGTAGCTTACTCAGGCAGAAAATCATTAATGTGCCTGAGAGTCAAAATGAGTAGGCCGAAAAAGGCGGGAAAGGAGAAAGAAGTAAACAGTTGAAGTGTGTGTGGGGGGAGGGGGTAAGCCAAGTAAGTGGCAAGAAAAAAAGAAAGAAGGAATCCAATTTAGAGGGAATTGATCAATAAGCTAAGGGGAAAAACCCCTGTGGAAATAGCTCTATGCTCTGTAGAACTTTACAGCACGGCGGAAAAAAGGAACTGAGGGGAATCTTGGGTGGGAGGAGCTTGTGCCTCATGGGGGATCACACTATAAAATTGTTACTTTTAGCTCTAGAATGCTTCGAGAATGTCAGCGCAGGCACAGACTAAACCCATATGTGTGAATTCACAGAGGCCACGAAAAAGTTTTACTTTAAGCTCTAGAACATTCCGAGACCATCTGCGCACGCGCAGATTAACCCATTTGTGTGATTTCACAGAGGCCACGAAGAAGAACCTCTGGATTCATGCTAAAAACATTTTTTGCTTTAGTCCAGGGCAGAGTATTTGGGGTGTCTGTATAAAAAAAACTGTCTTTTTATGTGTGAATTCACAGAGGCCACGAAGAAGTTTTACTTTAAGCTCTAGAACATTCCGAGACCATCTGCGCACATGCAGCTTAACCCATTTGTGTGATTTCACAGAGGCCACGAAGAAGAACCTCTGGATTCATGCTAAAAACATTTTTTGCTTTAGTCCAGGGCAGAGTATTTGGGGTGTCTGTATAAAAAAAACTGTCTTTTTTGTGCATAAGGGGAAAAGATAGAAGCAATGTGGTTGAGCACCTAACAAGTTGCAGCAACCTTCAAAACATTAGTCAAGAGGAGTATGCATGAGTTTCAAAAGATAATCTACAATTAGAGACTGTAACAAGGATATAAAAAGAAAAAATATTGCTTTGTGTTTGGGTGAGAAGTGATTAACCAACGAAAAAACATCAGCTTCTGGGATTTTCCCATGCTTAGTATCACTTTATCAACACTAGGGAACACTAGTGGATCGTGTATGCCATCTTCACTCCTGCCATTGGTGTTGTCAACATTCAGCATGCCCTTTACTATGTAAAGCTGGACATGATAATGTGCAGCAATACTGGACCATTTCCTGGTGTTTGAAATGTTATTACAAATGCATAATATCCCACATAATTTAGAGGTTTGTGTGTGTTTTTTTTTTAAGAATTGAATTTTCTGGCTTTTAAAAATGAATGTTTAAGTATACACACAAGTGCTACAGGATCAAATAAAATCAGCGTGTGGTTGCTGGGAGAGGAGAGAAGCAAGAATCCTGGGATGTGGCTGTAGTCCCTATGTGTCAAAATATTTTGAAGGGCTCTTTTTGGACTTAATGAAATAGTGAAGTAATAGTATGAGTAAAAGCAACACATGCACACCCCTTAACCTCTCAGGCAAACTAATGTTGCTATGTCTGATCTGCAGAATGCAGACTAGAAAGCCATTTTCCAGTTTCCAAACCCTTTCCTTGGGTAGGCAACCTGAGGGGAAAAAACAATATTGGACCAAAAGCTATACAACCATGTAATGTGCATGTTTTCCAGATGTCCCCTCACCATTTGAAATTAAAAGAAAAAAAAGGGAGAGTTGGGATTTAGCAAAGTTTATCTCTGGAAATCAAGGTCAAATCCATATTATGTTAAAGAAAGGGAAGGAAGGCAGGGAAAAATCATTTGAAAGGTAGTGTTGCAGAAGAACATTTCAGATATAGACAGACAGAAAGGCAGAAAAGTGGATGTTCAATCAAGTCAAGCATGAACTCTCACTACAGCAAAAATGAGTAAACTGAAGCTCACACCATGTACATAGTATGAAAACAGAACTGACCAGAAAAGACAATGTTGCTGGGAAAAATGGGAAGGGGGGGGCAATAGGTAGACCTAACATGAAAAAGATTGTCTCAATAAAGGAAACCACAGCTGTTAGACTGTAAGTCGTGAGAGAAGTTACTAAAAAAGACAATACAGCTAGGAAGGGGGAAGAAACAGTAGGAAGACAGAAAGATCTAATATGACATGCTGTTGGTTTGCAAGATCTGAGTAGAACTATTAGTTATATAGCATTTTTGAAGTCATTAAATCATTTAGTTACCACACATTAGAAGTGACTTGATGGCACATAACAAAATATTTGGATATTTTTCCCTTAATTACCAGCCAATTGTATAGCGACAAGACAGGTGGAACACTCTGAATATGCCTTACAAAATAGTATGGTAATTCCCAGGTGATACGTAACAAAATTTCCCCCTTGATGCAGGACTATTACTCTATTACTTTATTTAAAGCAAGATAGGTTTTTTGACCTGTCTTTTGACTGTTTCTATGACCTTTCATTGCCCTCCAAACATCTGCCTTTTGAGCTCATGTAACAATGGACCTGCTTTGGCACGCTCTTGTTGGTAAGCCTGTTACATGTACACTCAAAGTAGTTGTTTTTCCTTTTTAAAACATATTTTTTGAGGATCAATATTTCAGCATCTGCAGCCTGGATCCTTTCCAAATGAAAAATAGTTGGTGGGATCAACTTATCTTTCAGGATAAGCAAGGTTGGTCTTTTCTATTTGTATAAGCTATTCTTAACCTGGGGTCACAGTAAGAGTCAAAAGACAGGTTTTCTTTGAAGATTCAAAAAATCAGCTTGCTTTAAAAAAAGTAAACAAGTGACAGTTTAGGGTCACTTGTTTCTGCACAAAGGTTAGAACAGTTTTACTTTTAAAAATCATAACTTGAAATCCTTTGCCCAAATTTCCCCAAATTTGGCACAGAGCAAGAGCGGACTGTCTGGTACTTCTGTGCCAAATTTAATTCTGATCCAAAGTTGAGTTTCAAAGTTATAAGCTTTTGTTGGGCTGTCCTCATTTTTAGAATTGCCTTGTAGAATGTAGATTTGCTCTGGTCCACAATACAATGCAGTTATCATAATATCTAAAAAGTTGTAAGCACAGCAGAAGGATTACAGCCACAATTTATGCATCATTACTTACAAGAACAAATTCCTTTGGCACATCATTATGAAAATGAAGTTCAGCCACATCTATTTCTGAAGCAATCAGCCACTGCAGTGCCATTCTCAGCTGGGAATCAATCATCTGTGGTCCTACGTCAAGATTTATTATTACCAGTGTCCTTTTGGTGCTTCCTAACCCTGTTATAAACAAAACAGAATGAAAGTGAAAATGAAAATTCCACAATTCAATCAAAATATTTTAATCAGCCATACAAACATCAGTGAGTAAATTCTTGGAAGTAGGTGAGATGGCCTTGTAATGTTGATGGTTGTTTGTAAAATAACACTACATTTATAGAGTTCCAAATAGACAATCACAATCAGTAACTAGTTTGACAGTATGCCACTACACAGAGAAACAGTTAAGGAATTAGGGACTTTTGCTGGTATATTGAATTCACTAAGGAATGAATGAGTCATATTGGCATATATTTAATATACTGTACTTATTGAAAACATTTATATGCTGCCTCATAACAGAAAGTTATCTCAGCAGCTTATTTTAAACATAAACACGAAAGTCAATTGTGTCGTGTGTGTGTGTATGTGTATTCAAACAGAATGGAACATCTGTATTATAAGGAAGGAGTATTATAAGGAAGCTTGTGTGCTACATCCAGATGTGGCCCATTAGGAATCTGGAAAAGCTTCACCCCCTTCAAAGTTCCACCTTAAGTGTTGGAAAAAATCCTTCTCACTATTGCTATTCTGTGATCTGAAATGACAGGATTTTCCTCTGCCCTACTTGCATCCCTAATGGTGAATGTGAGAGGGAGATGGGAAATCAGACAGCTATCTCTAATCTCAAGGGACATCAGTGGAATTTATCATTCTGCAAGTGCTCCAAATGAGCTCCCACTGGAAAGACTAGCAGTGTAGATACTTTTGTATCTCCAGCCTTAACCCTGACAGTGAGGGAAGTCAGAGGAAAAGTAGTATCAGGGCAGGGCTAGATTATGTCAAGGAACCAAAATGGCTGGTGCAAGATACCTTGACATTATCTATCTCTTGGCTCTCGGCTTTGTGGGCACAATCCAGTACCCAGGAAAACCATTCCTATATCACTGCTCTCTACTTTGGCAGCTGAACAACCCATGATTGTGTAATTATAGCATCTGTCTAGTGAATCAGTATGCAAAATCTTGTTGGCATAACTGATCATGGTGTAACCCCAATCAGATGCAGAAGGATTTATTTTAAAGTAATTACTGTAATTATTTTAATTATTTTAAAGTAATCACTGCAGAAAAAAAACCACCATTGGTTTGCTAGTAGTGGTCCCAATCCTGGCAGTGCCTTTTCTTTTCTTTATTTTTTACTATTAAAGGCTTCCCGTCCCAATGTCCAAAGGCTCCAAAAGTCTTACCCAGGGCAAACAGAGCCTCTAGGGAACCTCAGACACAAAAGGAAGGGGAAAGGAAGCTTTTGATTATTTTAAATTAAATGCTTCCAGCAGCCAATTTGTGTTATGCTATGATAAAGCTACACAACAGGATTTTAACCAATGTATAGAGTAGATCAAATCAACTTTGTATATAAATATAATGTGTGTATATGTGTGGGGTCAGTTTTTATTAGATACATTTGATAGCTGATTTTTTAACCCACCGATGTACGTAACTATTTTGCTGGAAAAGAGGAGGTGTGACTGTTTTACTGGAAGAGGGAAGGCTTAAAGGCTTTTTTTTTTTTAAAAAAAGCATGAAATGGTGCTGTTTGAAATAATGGAAAACAGCTCCAGTTCAGTGTAGTATTTAACTATTTGGACCTATGTTTCTGAGAATATTTAAGGTGGCAATGAGTTACATTCCTGAGCTAAGAGCCTAATTCCTCACATTTGAAGAAGGAGAGCTACTCTGCACATACTCAAAGGGATTGCTCTTAATTCCCAGTTAAACCAAGTTATTGACCTAAAACAAGAATGTGACATGCTGTAGAAGCATTCGGCAATTTTTATAAGAAAATCTCAATTGCATCCTCATATGCTTTAACTGTATATAAAAAACAGGGTACAATGTGACCACGGGGCTTGGAGGCCCACAATAATTATTGACAACAGTACTGTAGGATAGTCAGGATTATTTCAAGATAATAAGACTATCCATTTGGAGGAAGAGCATGAAGTGGAAGAAGAGTTGTTTAGCTATCACTTCACTGAATTGAACCATCAACAAGAACTTCCCTGATTTCCACGAAACACTCCACAATATAATGACTAAAACCTTTCCTATCTAATGGATGGTCAGATGATTCAGAATGTTTTTGTTGAGGGCCTGCCATTTAAGCTATGTTATCCTGCTTTAGGAGTAAGTGTCAACTAGTGCCCATAAAGTGGAACTTGGGGGTTCCTATTCAGTCTTTGCTTAGAAAACAGGAATCAGAATATTCAGTATAAATTTCTTAGAAAATTGTAATTTCTACAGACTGTGGTCTGCAGCAGATTTCAATGCACAACAGATAAAACATGGGAGTTATTCTTGAAGAGCCTTCTCTCCTGACAAAAAAGAGATCAAAACTCATTTAAAGCCTGGCTTTACTTACACCATTTCCAGAATAACTCACTCATCCTATTTAGTTTTACCTTCAATGCTGTCTTTAAGATCATCTTCTTTATCTTCTGTTCCATCACTGAGGATCAAGTGGGAGGTGGAGAAAAAAAATAACTACAATTATGATATTGCAAACATATTCTACTCTGAAGAAAAAAAATATTCAAGAAAAATATTATGAATTGACCGAAGTATCAAGGAGTGATTGTGAAAAGGAAGCATTGCTTCTCACACCATTTCCTGTTACATGGCTTGCAAATATCCCAAGTAACAGTTCAGAAAATTCAACTGATAACTTAGCTACATTTTACACTAGATTATTTGGAAAAGCTCTAACTTGGAGCAGAGAAAATGAATATATTGGCACAAAACATAACTCCGAAATCTTGTAGGAAGCAAGCTCTTATTTATATGAAGAAATAATTGGAAGCATCTAGAATAGCAAGCAGACATGCATAAAGGCATTCTGGTGTTTTCCATTTTGCCAGGACATTCACACCATAGCACAGTAAAATGGACCCACTCAGTATGAATTTGTTAAGGAAAACCATGATTAGATGAAAGCATGTGGATAATGAATCACATTTCATATATGCCAGTTCCTTTTGCCTTGAAAAGAGAATGACTTCATGCATTAAAATATGAGGAACCAGCCGGGTTCAATGTCTTGGTTTGACCAACCTGTCTGATGTTGGAAAGGATAAATTCTCCTCATACATATCTCCTTCTAAACCAAGACTGCTCCAGCTACTGCTGTTACCATTACTGCCAGGGGAAGAAAAGAACACAGCTGAACTAGAAAAAAAGGGTTAGCTAAAACCAGAATCTTAGTTTTGCTTGATGCCATCCATCTGGATTCCCAAGTAATGACAGTGTTTTCTTAGGAAGGGCACAAGAAGAAGAAAATGCAAAAGTAACTCTCCACAGTGTTCAGATGAAGAAAAGGCAATTCACACAGTACTTTCATCCCACTGCCAAAGACAGTGATGATGCTGGGACTGGTCCTGAGATAACAAGTACAGAGTTTTGCAGTTGGTTATGGGTTTGGAGTGGAAAGGTCACCAAAAGATGATAGGTCTGGAGAATTAGCAACAGAGAACAAAGAAGTGTCAATACTTGGCACCTGAGTACAAGGACTTTTACCTATCACTGCATATACTTCTTTTCTCTTTTTAAACAGGGGAGAGATGGCACCCAGAGGTGAAGTAGCCAAGTTCTTAGTAGGTATCTTGCTAATAAAACTTATACAGCCTGGCAAAGGCACAGCCTCTATGATAATTGATTTGCAGATCAGGGAGATATGGAACAGAACTTCCATTCTCCAGTTGCTATACAAAGCATAATCTAGATTTCCAAGTATTTCTTCTCAATGAATGCTGAATGAATCCTGGTTTCTTTCACAGATGTAAATTCCATGTGGCTTTCTTTAGAGTAGAGGGGCCAACAGTGGCTCTTCAAATGTTATTTGACACCAATTCCCATCAACTTAAGACATGATCCTACAGCTAACAGTAAGGGAGTTCAATGGCATCTGTAGAGTCAGATTACTTGAAAGCATAATTTCAAAGATCAATGTGTTGAGACAGCAGCTAGTTTTATGACCATCTAAAGACACCTCATTTAGTCAGTTCACCAATCTATCTACTTCACCTGGCAATGATTCTTCAACATCTCTAGTACAATTTCCTTCCCATACATATTCACTAAAACCTTTTAAACTAGGTACTCCCAAGGACTAAATCTGGAACCTTCTGTATACAAAGCAAGTGATCTACCAGAGTTATGGCACACTGGTGAATAGCATTTCACACTACCTGCTATATAGGAAAAATGTTGACAAGGATTCATCACATTAGTAAAGATTTCCTTGTTCAAAATGTAATTATCCAGCAATCTTAAACATGTAGGAATCAGAGGTCAGTCCCAGAAAGGAATCAGAGGTCAGTCCCAGAAAAGACAATGGGGTTACGGTTAGCACTGTTAAGAGAGGAATTGTGTGAAATAATTACACAATGAAGACTTTGAGGGCATGTTTAGTCATTAAGTCGTGTCCGACTCTTCGTGACCCCATGGAACAGAGCACGCCAGGCCCTCCTGTTTTCCACTGCCTCCCAGAGTTTGGTCAAATAAAAAGTACTAGCAGTGATCTAACAAGGGCTGTAAGGAGGCATTTCTACTTCAAAATAAAATTTATGTCCAAAATTAAATTCAAAACATCAATTTTATGAGAATTGTACTCAGTTAAATGGGGAAAAATAGGTGGAATGGACGGGTTACTTACCTGTAACTGATTCTTTGAGTAGTTATCTGTGAATTCACACAAATGATTTCCATCTGTGCTTGTGCTGATATCCTAGGAATCTCCCAATATACACGCTCGCCCATTCAATGACTGTTCCTCAGTTCCCCTCATCATATTTTAACATCCACAAGACAAAATGAGGGGAGGTAGAATGACCTCATTGAATTCACAGATGACCTACTCTTTTTGAGTGGTTTTTTACTACATTTACAGCTAAGTAACCTGTCCTTTTTCTTTGTGGCCTCTGTGTGACACATATGAGTAACTAGTTCATGAGATTTCACATTCATACTGAAGATACAACAGCACAACCAAGATTTTCTCTGATATCAAGTTTGTATACTTGGTGAAGGAAAGAAAGTAGGTAGCACTTATTGTTTACTGTATATGGAAATCAAAAAACACTTTTGGCAGAAAGGAAACATCTGCCGAGAAATTTGCAATTATAGAATTTTTAAAATGTAAGACTGTGATAAAGAACACATTGCTCTTCTTGCTGACCACTACGAACAGTCTTTTATGTTATCAGTTGCAGACCTGTAGTAGCCTTTGAAGGGAGATCTCATAAGCTGATGAAGAACTAATGAAAGTGACCACTGTGTAACAGGAGGTCTTATATCAAGATATATATTGTTAAAGTTATCCTGTTATTTAATCTAGAACTGGCCCAATGTACTGAATTACTCTCATTGGCCTAAATGGTGATTTTTTTTTTTCAGATTTGCTTGTGAAAGAACGTGGTGAAGAAAATGTGTATTTCGGCTTTGTCCTTTGAGTGCCACAATCGACCATTGAGGTATGGAAATACATTGATTCCATGTATTCTACATTAAAGTGCCACCAGAACCACGCATTTGGTGAAGGCTCTGAGTGCTGTTGACAGACCAACACCCCCCCCCCCAACTTTGAACTCAGATTCTGTTCTGCAAAGTGAATGACCTTTCAGGTCTATCACAGCAAACCAGACTCTCTTTTTCAAAAGAGGCATTATTGCAAACAATATTTATTTATTATTTATTTATTTATTGGACTTGTATACCACCCCATAGCGCTACAAGCACTCTCCGGGCGGTTTACAATTTAATTATACAGGCTACACATTGCCCCCCCAGCAAGCTGGGTACTCATCCTTACCGACCTCGGAAGGATGGAAGGCTGAGTCAACCTTGAGCCGGCTACCTGGGATTTGAACCCCAGGTCGTGAGTTTTTTTTTAGCTGCAGTACAGCGTTAATTTGCCCCAAAGTAGAAGTATTCTGGTATTAGGTAATTAATTGGCTAGAAAAAAAATAACAACTCAAAAATTAGTTCCAAATGAAACCTTGTTATTATTCTTAGTATTTACTGAAGGAAATGAAAATTTATCAAATAAAGAATTGGTGGCAACTCTTATAGGGGCAGTGAGGAATGAAATTGCTGGAAAGATGCTAAGGACCTCAGTTTGCAAATATATATGAATAAAATATGGGCAGTGGTGCTGATGGAGAAAGTGATTAATCAAGTCAGAATATAGAGAGGGGAGATTAAATAAGATAACTTGATGAAGATATGGTTCCCCTGTTGAAATCCAATACTGAGTCAAAAAATAAACAAAGTAGACAATGGGAGAGACTGTTAGCTTAAGCCGCATCAACTAGATATAAAAATGCAATAATGAGCCACAAAGGAGACTATGGGAAAAGAGAAAGAGATAATGTAAACATTGGGTATATATGAAGATATATGGGTGTATGAATAAGAAAGGTACTCTTATTGTAATACAATAGGTACTGTTCTGTTACGCTATTTTGAATGAACTAATAAAAATAAAATAAAGTTTAAAAAAACTCCAAAACATCCAGAACATCTTGTTTTCAATGTAGGAATTGACATCTCTCAAGTCCAAGATGGGTCATAAACCACCACCTTTCTTGGGAACAGTAAAACTCATTTTAATTAGTAGAAACTAAATTGAATTGAAAAATGAATCACTAAATTCATTCAAAAACTGTTTGTGGATTTGTATTGGTCCTAAAAAATCAATGTCCCTAACAAATATGAATCAATGAATTTTTAATGATTTTTTGATTCATTGTTTTGTTGGGCTATGAAATGCCTCGCCAGGTACCTAGAGACACCAAAACTGCAGGAAAGATTCACCTGGCCCTCCTCTACAATCCCTCAAAGTTTGGGGAAGAGTGGGTTTCTCCAAGCCAGTTGCTAAAGGGCACATTCCTGGGGGGGGCAATATTAATGCTAATCAAGATGGAAAAGTAAACAAAAGGCCAAGCAGAAAGTAAAAGTCAAGTGTTGGTAGGAGGGAAGGCCTGCCTAAAGAGCCAAGTCTTTAATTGGCTCTTAAAGACACCCAGCGAGGGTGCCAGGAAGATCTCTGACGGCAAGCTGTTCCAAGCTATGGTGATTCTGACACAAAGAAAAAAAAGAATATAGTCTCTAGTGCGTCTTCCTTTTCTGAAACCAGCTTGAACAGTTAGCATTTCTCATTCCACATAGGGTAAGTCTTGAAAAAGTTTGAGTATTACTTTGCATGGGAAATTAATGCAAAGGTCATACTACTGCTCTCTTTTCATGTCTCCTTTTGGGACTGCTAATTATATGGAAGGTGGCTCTGAGAGTCACTGTTTTGTTTCATACATCTACTGGCACATTCTTGTTACAGTTCTGTTAAGAGTCAGTCTCTATAGCTTGAAATAGCTTTCTTAGTATGCAGACTATCCCAGGTAATCTACTTCTTCCAAGAACTTTTGCAAGCAGCTATCAGTTCAGTTTCTACAACTGCAGGTTCTTCATTAGCTGTTCTTCAACAAAAGGGTTGTCCCTTGCATCTCTTCTGTACAGAATATTGTTTCTATCTTCTTTTTATTTTATCCACATCAAATACCGTATTTTTCTGTGTATAAGACACTACTTTTCCTTAAAATCATTACACTAAAAATTATGGGGAATCTTTTACATGGAAGTAAACTGAGAACACAGAGAGAACAAAATGGTCTGCACTTCAATTAGCTGCCTCCAATTAGGAGGTTTAATGTCCTACAGTCAGGAGACTTAGCTTCCTCCAATCATGAGCCTTATGGAACTGACGTCGGCTCATGCTGAACAAACCAACTGGAACACACCTCATTGGAGGTGGAGCCTGTAGGCTCAGATTCAACAGGGACTCCTAGCGTTCTCAGCCCAGAGGCTGAATCCTCAAAAGCTAAGTTTTATTAATTTTGGAGTTAGAAAAGTGAGGGGGGGCATCTTATAAATGGAAAAATATGGTAAGATATTCCCCACTAATCTTTCGGTAACCTCAATCTTGGTTTAAAATTCCTTTCAATTTCTCAACTCCTATGGGAGAGATCTCATGTTCTTCTTTTTTAAATCATTTTCTTCTATTTCTTTGAAATGGTAATTTTAATTGTTCTGTTCATCCCTTCATGCAAGTTGAGGAAATGTTGCATTTAGAATTCTAACCCTATTTCAGTCACCTTTGCTTCCCATAACAAATTTATGAGTTTCATCAGTTATCTATTGAAGCTTCTCTTTTCTTTAGACTACAGGAATACATCTTGCATTATTTCTTGATAAACCTGTCTGGTTTCAATCCAAAGTTCTTCTCCTTCATGTTCAATTGAGTATAGTAACACAATTCTGTTCTTTACCTGACATTTAAGTTCTTCAGAAACTTTACTTAAAATACATTTCGGCATTGGTTGTTTTAGTGTTTTCTCCAGTTCCACTATAGTTATTGACATTAACATTTCATCATCTGTACGACGATCCATTGCCAGTCTTATTTTTGCAGTGAGAACAGAGATCTATCTTCCATTTCCGACTATACAGTCTATTTGATTTCCATACTAGTCATCTGAATATATATGTGCACAATCAACTGTTAAGGTTACATGAAGCATGTATTTGCAATAAACGAATGGTTTTACAAAGATCTTTGTGGCTCTACCACTTTATTTCTGAGTTCTAGGTCAAATTATCTAATACAGTGGTGCCTCGCTAAACAACATTAATTCGTTCCAGCGAAATCGCTGTAGAGCCAGAACATCGTAAAGCGAAAATAAAAAACCCACCGAAACGCATTAAAACCCGGTTAATGCTTTCCAATGGGCTAAAAACTCACTGTCCAGCGAAGATCCTCCATACGGCGGGCAATTTTGGTGCCTATATAGCAAGGAATCCATCCCTAAACACAACGGGGAGCCATTTCGAGCACCCGGCGGCCATTTTAAAAACCCGACGATCAACTGTTTTGATCGTCGTAATGCGAAGAATCGGTTCCTGAAGCAGGGAACCAATCTTCACAAAGCGAAAAAAACCATTTAAAATATCATTTTGCGATCGCAAAAACATTGTCGTGAAGCGGATTCATCATAATGTGGGGTAATCGTTAAGCGGGGCACGACTGTAATATTTGGTTCTGCTTTGTGTCCCATTTTTGAGCACTATTTTGAACTCATCTTATTTTTGACTGTGATCACCCAGTATACTTCCACAAAAACTTTACATTTCTTTTTCTTCATCATATGTGCTTGGATCATTGTCCTGAATAGTTATGTTGACAGAATTTCACTTAACGATGTTTCTTTTTTCAATTAAAAAAGTGTCTTATAAGGGTCAAAAACGGTTCTAAATGCTTGGATTCGTTAGAGGACCCCCTAAGTCATGTGCAAACCTGATTTGGCTTTGATCTGACTTTTCGTTAATTTATGGTGAATTTTTTTTTCAGCCCATAGGAACCAATGGACCTGTCAAAATCTGACAGCTCCATGCTTTCCTATGGGGGAGAAAACAACAGCCGTGCAGGCATACTCATCCTCCCGCCCCCTGCCTGGAGTGGCCAGCCAAGCAGAAAAAGAGCAACACACCAGGCACAATTGGAAGCATGAGTGGGATCGGCACCACAGCAGGACACATGCATGGACAGTCTGGCCCCAGGGGCCAAACCCTCATTAGGTCCAGCTGTGTGAGAATAATTGCATTCGGATCTCTATATAACACTATGATTGTCTATGAAAGATCCTCTGCCAGTATCATCTTCCATGACTGCTGCTCCCAGTAGCTGTCCTTCAGGAATTTCTCTGTCCCCATCACCACTGCAACAATCAATTCTCTTCTGCTCATTGGATTATTCATGAAGAGGACTGATAGATCTTAAGAGTGATGGCTCAATTTTGGACCAGCTTTGACCACAGGCAGTTTTGACCAGCTTTTGACCATAGTGGAGTTTAGCTTCCAACAGTGTTTGACCCAGCATCCCAGACACATTCAACCCCCCTGACTATGCTCAGGTGTGCATCTAAGAGGTGATACTAAAGTTTGCATCCAAGATCTCGATATATCCACAGGTACTTTTGAAAAAGGAATGGAACCAATCATCAGGGAAACAGACCACAGACCACTATTTACTGAATGGCTTGAGCCAGGACTAGAAAGACCAAGAATTAAATTCTCACCCATTCAGGAAGTTCATCAGGTGACACAGACCAACTAGAGCAGTGGTGTCGAACTGTGGCCCTCCAGATGTTCTTGGACTTCAACTCCCAGAAGCCTTCACCACCAACTCTGCTGGCCAGGATTTCTGGGAGTTGAAGGCCAAGAACATCTGGAGGGCCACAGTTCAACACCACTGAACTAGAGTATCAATATGAGAGGCTGACTATGTGGACTCTTTAGCCCACTCTTTGGGGACACTGGGGGGATGAGCTGGCACATTCTTAGGGATAGCAATCAGATGACATATTTGCTAAAGTCCACAAGCTCGCACTCAGAATAACATATGCACCTTTCTGGCCCCCATCAAGGGGATTCTGAAGTGGCTCACTTTTTTAAGCCACTTCAGAACACTGGCAGGACCCATTTTAGTGTGAATAGTCAGGCTTAATTAGATCATTGTAATCAAGCCTGACTGTTACCAAGAAGCCCATACTAGCTCACTCCCTAGTGCTAGTATTGCTGTACCATTACTTACATTAATGTTCTTGTCACAACAATGTATGCAGTGAATACATTTTTGCTTCCTCAACACTTTTTTTTGGGGGGGAGGAATAAAATTGAAAATGTAATACTAATTTCTTTTCATTTTTTGCTTTTAAAAAGTTAGTATCATTGTATGAAAATTCCTTTGTTTTGTCAGTAGCATAACCAGCACTACCTTGTTGATTATTATATATCTTTTCTCACAATACTTTAAAATATTTGACCATTCTTTTCAAAGCAACAAAACTGATTTTCACTGATACAATGCACCATTTTATGAGTTTGTCAGAAAGAAAATTAGTTAAAGGAAGCTGAAAGGCAACTTTAGCAGGGTAAATCCCTTCTGGAAACTCAGAATTTATTGAAAAACAAGAAAAATATCACAGAGTAGAAAAAGGATGCCAACAGAAAGCACCAGCAATATGAAAACAGTGAATAAAAAGTATGATCTCTCGCTTAGATGAAGGAAATGAAATTTAAAAAGGGAACAGATTCTGCTAAACTATGCTAAGGCAAATCAATTATGAATTTGTGGATAATATTGCTAGCAACAGAAAAATAACTGAATTGATAAACTACATTCAAAAGTGAAAGCCACAGAGTATGACTACTACATGATAAATGAAGCTTGTGGATTTTCATGACTGACATTTTTCACATCCAACCATTCAGGTATAAATTTGGCATTACTAATGCTTGTGCCAAAAAATTATTTATATTTTCATTCAGTTTGATAGACTTTTCATTATTAGCCATACAAACAAACAAATTTCTGGAATATAATCTGGTGCTGATGTAGCCCTAAATAAAGTTTTCTTACACAAGTGAAAGTAGTATGTACAGTATGCATATACAAAGTGGCTCAAATGCTGTTGCTTCGCATACTAAGTTGCACTAGAGTAGGCTCCCTGAATCAGTGGGAATTTGGCGAGTCAACTCCTCTGTAAGTTCTGTCCATTCAAATGGACCTATTCTGATGTAACTCATTACACTAAGCAATATGATTTCAGTCTCTGTCTTTAGAGGTAAAACATGCCTATTTAAAAAATAAAGCCAAGTCAGTTTACATTAATGAAATACAGAAGTGAAATATAAAAGCTACAAATCACAATACATAAAGAACTGATAATACAAAACATAAGTTATTAAGTTTCATTATCAAGATGAATGAAGGATGAAATGAATGATCCCTGAATAAATGAGAATGTTTATGAAAACAAAAGTAAAACTTATTTCTTCATTTGTTCTTAACTGCTTTGCATTATTTTGTAGAAACAAACCACAGCTCTTCAGTACAAAAAAGTAACAGGAAGAGGGGATGAAAACTAAACTTTAAATTATCACAGTGGAAATCTATTTAATTCAGCTCTCTCAGTAGAGCAATAAAATATACTATAAAATAAAGAGCTTAAATTGAATGTCAGGAATGTTATGCTGATCCATTCAGAAACAGAGGAAGTTAAAAGCAGGAGAAATGCAGCTGGGTCTCCACTAAGTGGAGCACCTTTCAAAGTTACCTACAAAAAACATGTATCATGTCCTTTTGAAATTTGGAAGGTCTGATGTCCTGGGTGGGAAGACGAATGCCTGGAAATGTCATGCTATTTCAGCAGAAAACACCAAAGTTAGAGGAAGCACGAAACTGGTTTGTGCAGGTTGCTGAAGCTATTAGCAGCTAATTGATGAAGTCCTGGGGTGCATCTTGGCTGCATAATCAGAGACATGACCAAGACATGCACCTATACCCGCAATGAGCCATAGCAAGATATGCAAAACTAGCATAAACACCAATAGGATTCTGATCTATATGAAAAACAAATGGAAAACAAAAGGAACAAAAATTTTGTCTCCTTATCTCTACTGTAATTTTTACATACTATTAAAAGTAAAACAGCACATTCGTGAAGCAAAATTCAAGTTTCTAAAAAAATGAACTTTTTTTAATGGAAGTTTGAGGCTTACAACACTCTAATAAAACTGTTATCACATATGAAGCATATTTTAGTTACCTATCACTGAGGTGGAGAAAACTGCTATTCTCATCTGGGTGTTCATCTTCAAAACTGAGATTGGACCAGCTGCCAGTGCTGTCATCACCAGTGCTTAGGCTCATTTGCTGGCTGACTATGGATTCAGCAGAATTAAATCCCTCTTTCCCCATTGAGCTACGGAGAAATTAAAATATTATAATCATTATTTTACCTGCAGTTCCATGCCTTCCCCTGCTCTGGTAATCTGGCAAAATATTGGATATTGTCATTGAGGTCCGAAATGGAAATGTGGTACTGAGGGTGTAGATACAAAACAAGCACTTTGAAGGGCACATACACTTCCCAAAGCCATTTTTGCCGCCACAACCCCCAACACCTGTGCAAATTTCATCAGGCAATAAAGCTGCTAAAAATTGGTTACAAATCACTGAAAGCCTTTTGTAAGGCTTTGGTTGTTTAGTGTTTTCTGTATTTAGAAAGAGAATCAGCAAAATGCTGTTGACAAAATTTTCTGTTTGCTTTGTTTTTCCTATCTGCTGAATTTTTGAAACAGAAGAGCAGAAAGGAATCCACAAAATGGGGCAAAACTGAGATTTGGACCCAGCGAAATGACCAATTCCTGAATTTGTATCTTGAATACAGTATTGGACTTTTTAAAAAAAACACATTCACAAATAACTTCCTGAAAATTGCTTGAGGACTGTTTTAAAAACCTAAATCTTTGTTTTTGTTATCCTTATAGTACTGACAATTTCATTGCAGATATTTAATAACCCTCTCTTATGGGGTCCCACATGGTTCAGTGATTTTCCCCATTCTATTTAACATCTACAATAAGCTGCAGAGTGAGGTCATCCAGATTTAGAGTGCGGTGTCATCAATATGCTGATGACATGCAGCTCAATCTCTACTACATCTGCAGTGCAAGGTGTCCAACTTCTGGAGCACTGCCTGTCCTTGATAATGGATTGGACGAGAGCAAAAAAAGGTGAAACTAAATCCCGATAAGATTGAGAACTTGTTGTTAGGGGGTACTCCTCTCCAGTCAGGAGAGACTATTTACATAGTCTGAATGGGGTTATACTCCCACTAAAAGACCAAGTTCACAATCTGGGAATATTTCTGGATGTGGCACTGTCCATGGAACACCAACTTTCTGCTGTAAGCAGGACAGCCTTCTTTCATTTCAGGTAGATTGCCCAGTTTGCACCCCTATCTGGGTGACAAAGTCCTGACGACTTTGATCCATGCATTGTTAAGAATTAACTACTGTAATGCTTTTTATGTGAAGCTTCCCTTGAAGATGATATGGAAGTTGCAGCAGGTCCAGAATGCAGCAGCCAGATTAATTTCCAGGGCTAGGAAATTTGACCATATTTCCCCAATTCTGGCTCACCTGCAGTGGCTTCCTGACAGCTTCCATGTCAGATTCAAGGTGTGGCTATGATGTATAAAGCTCTTAAAGGTTTCGGACTTCACTACATGTTGGATGATCTTTCCCCAAGAATATCTACCTTGTCAACCCAATCTTCTTAGGCCTTATTATTTGGGGTGCAAACCCCAAGAGAAATAACGAAAAAAATTAACCAGGCACGCTCAGTGGTGGTTATTTCTCTTTATGAAATAAACTTCCTTTGAAAGTAAGACTGGCCTCCTCCCTCCAAACCTTTAAAAGACTTCTTAAAACCAAGTTGTTTAGGGAGGCCTTCAGTGATGTCATTGTTTGACTAACTCAGGACCTGTATTTTATTTTAGTTCATTAGGCTTTTGTTATTTTTGTTCAATTTTATATTTAGTTTGTGTAATATTACATAGTTAAGATTTTATTTTATAACAGGTGCCATTGCTTGCTTGCCTTTTTATCATGCAATATCTATCTGGCTGATCGGGTGTGGGGATGATGGGAATTTTATTTTATTCTTATTTGATCTTACATAATTGTTAGTTCATTGTTATGTAAACTGCCTTGACTAGTGATCTCATTAAGCTAGCCTGTATATAAATGTTATAAGTAAAATAAAATAAATACCGTATTTTTCCATGTATAAGACACCCCCACTTTTCTAAACCAAAATTAAGAAATCTAAGTGGGGCTTAGTAAATGTAGGGTAAAAAGGATCAAAGTGTGCAAGATGGCTTTGATCCCTGCTTTCTCCCTTTGTGCTAAGCCCCGCGTGGCTTAGCAAAAGGAGGGGGAAAGGGATCAAAGCAATTCCACAACTGCACAATCATTTTGATCCCTTTCCCCCTTATACAGCCACAGGATTGCTTTGATCCTTCCCTCCTCCTTTTGCTAAGCCCCATGGGACATAGCAAGCAGAGGGAAAAGCAGGGATCAAAGCAATCCTGAAACACTTTGATCCCTGCTTTTCTTTTTGCTAAAGCTTAGCAAGTGGAGGGGAAAGCAAGGATCAAAGCCCTGCAGGATCACTTTGATCCCTGCTTTCCCTTCCACTTGTTTTTTATCCTCAGCTTACTTCCGTGTATAAGACGACCCTCAATTGTTAGTCTAAAGATTTTAGACAAAAGTATAGTCTTATACACTGAAAAATATGGTAAGTAAGTAGCTTGGAACTGGAACATATGAAACCAGTATATGCAATAGTTCTATATTTGGAAAAATCTACATGTTTTATTATATACCTTAATTTTCATAGTAGATGCAGTTAATGATTATCCAAAGGTAGATCTGATTGCACAAATACTATACATCAACCATTTTTCAGCCCAATAACGTTAAATGTAATTTTTATGATTCCTTTGTTTTATAAATTAAAACTGTACTAATACTACCAAAATTATACATATTTGAACAAATGACATAGTTTAATGTGACAGGAATTCAAAGCAATACTTAAAATAATTAGACATTACCTTATTTTGACAGCTGGACCAATGTTTGTCATACAGGAAGTCAAGATCTCAGTGGTAAGGCTTTCGGCAAAGCTGACTCCATCCTGTCCAATTCCACTATCTGCTGTCAAACTTGTGTTACTAAGTTGCCTCCCTGCTTTGTCAAAAACTGCAGCAACCAAACTGTCTGCAAATATTACCTTATCATCCGTATCAATATGAATTTTGGGAATGTCCAGGTGAAGAACACGAGATTTTGGACAGGTGTCACTTTCACTTGCATTTGGAATCTGCTGAAATTTGGAGTGGAATTTTTGTCCACTTAACTGTAAATATGAATCTTCAGTGCAATATTGATGCTCCCTCATATTGCAATATGTACAAGCGGTTGTAGAAAATGGAGACAGTTTTTCTGCATATGTTGATCTATCTCCATGTGTCCATTTCTCAGAGGTTTGTAGAGCAGCAGATTCCAGGCTTAATTCTAAAGTGTCATCGACTACCTTCCTAGCATATTGTTCTATGGTATTAGTAATACCATCTCTATTAGCAGGCTCATTTAAACTGCCAGTGCTATGATATAGCTTTTGTTTGCAACATAAAGGAGAAAGCATTCTTAAAAATGGTGTTTTACAATCAGATATTTCATCAACTTTAGATTTTTCATACAAACAAGAGTCAGTTAAGGATTTTGGCAGGCAAGCAGCTGACATTAATCTTCTTCTGACATCTGATGTTATATTACATGCAAGAGATTCTGAGAAATCTAATAACCTTGCGCACTCAGTTCTATGATTCTGGTATTTGTTTCCACAGGATAGCTTTATAAACTGATGACAGTTACCTTTTTTATGATTCTTTATATCCACACCATTGTTTACTGTCTCGTATAGCTCAAGCTTACTGTTTAACTTAGAGCTCAGGGCAGAAGCTATTTTTCTATTATACCTAATTTTGAGTTTCCTGGCAGCTTGCTGCATACCAGATTTTATAGATCTGTAAGCAAGTCTACTAGCATATTGATCCATTATTAGTTCACTGTGACCACCTTCTCTTTTCAGAATCCGAATGACGTGATCTGCATATTCATCAGTTACACTTTCACAACTTGGATATTTGGAAGTGAGACCCGGAGCTTCCAGACTTGGGGGTAAAGAGAGTGCAAAGCAGTCTGTGTCTTTAGAACACTGGTCTGCCAAGAGGTATCTCCTGTCTTTTGTCCAACATTCATGATAGCCCCTTTTACAATGAGAACCATTAGCCTGGTAATTAACTTGCTTCAACTTCAGAACTTTGCAGTGTCTTGATTTTACCATCTTCTCAGCTTCACTAATGAGATTTCCAGCCATATCACCAGCATAAATCTGTAATGAATGCAATTTCCCCCCCGGAACATTCAGGAAGGTAGCATACCGACATTTTTTGCTTTCTATGCTTTCTGGGAAGTATTTATTATTCTCCATTTGAACAGCTTTATCGAAGTCTGAAGCAGCCTTTTCAGTTGCCATAGAGATTATACTAGTAGCTAAATGATCTGCATATTCTGTCGTTCTTACTGATGTTTTAATTCTCTCTACCAGTGTTCCAGAATGTTCTTCATCTTCACTGCTTTCAACTTCCTCAGAAAGAGACCTCATAAGCTTTAACATAAACTCTTCCTTTCCTAGGTCATGACTTTCATCTTCATATGGCCCATCTGTTTCTGGTCTATAAGGTGTAGAAGGGGGGGTTGCAGGTGCAAACTCCTTTGCTAGCTCACCTTTTAGCTTCTTTGTTAACTTTCTCAAATTCCACTCAGAACTAGCCTGGGAGGGTATTAAAGGTGTTGGCGGTGGTGTGTTTGGAATTCCAAAAAGGCTTCCATCTCTGACACTTGACTTCTCTTCTATTTGAAATGTGTCTTCACAACTGGACATCACAGAACTAAAAGTGTTTGCATCAAGAGCTCTCTCATGACCAAATATAAGACATCCTGAAGTTTTGTACATACTACATGTATACAATGAATTACTTATGGGTTTTGCTGAGCAACCTTCTGGATCTGGAAGTTCTTCCATATGCTTTACAAAATTCACTGCAGAAGGAGGAGAAGATTTGCACATAGATGACCTGCAAGCAACATGTTTCTTTTTTTCCTGAACACAATCCTTGGATGCTGAAAGCACAAATTTACTAGAGTAGGTTGGACTTCCATGAAATTTAGAGGAGCTGTTCAGGGGCATCTGCTGCTGCCCTACAATCACTGGAACAGTTTTGTTTTTTTCAGATTGCTTTATTGAACTGGGCAATTCATTCTTACTGGTGCTTGCATTACTTCCTAATCCCACACAGTATGCTAATTTTTCACTTGTAGCAGAACATGCAGATCTTGTTTCATCTACAGACTGTTTTACGATCCGTTTGGCCAAATAATTGGAAAACATATTCTTACAGGTATCTTCACCAATACACTGTAAATATGGCATTTTCTTCATTTTTAACATATCTGTGTACTGCCTGGCAGACTTAGAAACCTTGGAAGAGGTTACTGCTTCATATGCCTCATTTACTATCATATCCACCATTGTTCCAGAAAAACTACTAACGTTTGGTGCACCAGTTAAGTCTGAAAACTCAGGATTATTTCCTTGTTTAAAATCACTCTGTTTATATAAAATCTGTGCATTACATTCACTATCTGGACTGTTATCTGTTGTCAAGTAAATATTTCTGACCGATGTCACTTCACCTTGTCTCTTTTTAGTTGAAGAGTGCAGTTCTGCAGATTCGTTGCAACACTTCAAATTACCACCAGATATGGAATGGTTCTTCACCTTTATGTCAGCAGATAAAATCTGGTTTTGACAAAGTATGCTTCCAGCTATGGGCACTGGGATTGAACTGGCAATGCTAGATGTATAGAAAAGTGCTTTATGAACAGTATATTCCTTTCTGTATTCCTGTACTGGATTGAAAGTTAATGGCAATTTATCTTGAAACTCAGTAAAAGCATTGGAGGTCTGTGTTGGCTCTGCACTTCCATATTTTATATTGTCCATCGAAATACTAATTGCTGCTTGTGTTGTAAATGTTACATCAACTTGTGATAGCTCAATAAAAGCTTCCTGAATAACTGACTCAGACAAGTCTTTGGCATATAACTGTACAACATTATCATTATAATGGAAAGAACCATTCTGATAAGCTGCTGGAGTTGATGGGTATGAAAACTGACAGACCTCCATGATGCCTTCAAAAATCAGCTCCTCAGCAAGGTCTCCTGCAAATTTTGCAACTGTGTTGGTAAATATTTGTTGCTTTACAGACCGTAGCTCTTTTAAAGCACCTGTTATTGCTTCACTTACCAAAAGGCCTGCTAGCCCATTAATAGCTCTCCTTTTCAGGGACAAGGCTTGCTGCCTCCCAATATCATAAAAAGCCATTTGAAATACTAAAGAAGTCAATTTGGCAGCCAAGTGACAAAGTGCATTGGTACATGAAGAAACACCTTTCTGAAGGTCTCTGAAGGCACTGCCAAAACTCTTCTCCACAAGTTCCGATGCAAATTTCTGGATGTGTTCTTTAATCATCAATGATTTGTATTTAGATGTACCTTTCTTATTTTGTCCTTTTCTAGTCACTCCTCCTTTAGGTTTTGAAGTCCAATGCTTTTCTTCTTTTGAAACCACCAAGTTACTGTTGGGTATGTCCTTTGTGCATCGGCATAATGAGGAAGGCCGAGAATTAAAGACAGAACTTAGAATTTCAAAGGAAATGTTATTTGCAAATTCTGAATGTGTGTGACAAACAAGATTGTAATTTGGGCTAACAGCATCCTTTTTGATACCAGTTCGACAAAGACATTCTGTTGAAAAGCAGCTGCCTAATGGACTAAAAGCTGATGACCTAATAGGACTGAACAAGCATCTACTGTCATCTCCTGGTGTCTTCACTGGACGGGGAGAATCTGGGATATCTAAGAGGTTGCTATATGGAGATTCTGGCTTCCGAGGAGTTGGTTTCCTCACATTGGCTGGAAGAACAGGGCGATCAAATTTGAACTTCTGAGGATTCATTGTAATTCTTGCAGAGCATGACTTTTTGTGTGAAATAATCTTATTGTCAGATGCATTACCCAGGACTGGATCCCTAGCGTATTTAGAACCACTTTCCAGAGTTTGTTGCTGTTCATCAAATTGGTCAAAACTATCAAAGAACTCACTTACTTCAGAATCTGAATCTTCTACACCATCTTTCATTACTGGTATTTTTGGTAGCTGAAGCTTTGCCTTCAAACTTTTTTGATACCCTTCTTCATCTAAAAAAATAACTGGGCTTGGACTAGAGCAATCAGATTCTGATGATTCAACAGGAGAGGAAGAAAATAATGTTTTATGTAGAAGATTAGCACTATGCTCAGGATTGTGGGATCTGAAGAAACTCCTCTGTATCCAAGGATCAGAAATAGAAGTTGTGACAGAATTTCGAATGGGAGAAGACAATTCCTTATGTTCTAAGATGTTCACAAAGGATGATTTGACAGATGGCTTCTGATGCCGAGAATTAAGAACAATCCTTTGATCCACAGACTCTAAAAGATGATCTGAGATGATCTGTGAAGGAACATCTTGATGTTTCTCAGGTGCAGCTTGACCTATGACAATGAAAGGAAAAATGAGCAAATACAAAACAAAATCCCTGAAGGTAACGATTACAGGTAACTAACAGAAATACCTAACATCATGAAAGGTTAACTTTGGATCATTCTGAACAACACACCATACAGTCCTGTTAACATTTCTCTAAAAGCCAATCACATTTAATTTAACAGAGCTTCCCTCCCCCCCCCAAAAAAAAAACATAAATAGGGTTATACCTGCAGAAGCAGAGGTACTAGTGAGATTCCTTCCATCCATGCTCAGAAAAGGAGAAAGAAATGCCCAGGCCCTAAATACTTGGAAATTCTGGCTGAATAAAAATTCCTGCTTCCTTTTCAGTCAAGAATTCACTCATTTCCAAGAATTCACTCACTTCAAATTCCATTCCTTTTACTCTCCCTGATTAACTGCAGTAACAGTGATAGGAGTTGGAAGGTTAAGGGGGGTCTGTTCTCATCTCCCTTCTGAACATTACCTTGTTGCACTGCTGTGCATTACTCAAAATCCTAGTGGTCAGTGACTAATTACACCACCATTAGTGCAGTGGTGTAAACTGAAGTGCTGCTAGTTAACAGGCTGCTGCTTGTATCCCTCATTGTGTGCCTGCTGCATGAGGTGGTCTGTGACAAAGGATACATCACCACTAACCCAGTAAGGACAGGGAAAGAGGGGAATGTATTTTAGAGAAAAGAGGTGGGCAGGAAAGGTGTTTGGGGGACTAGGAAGGTTGGAAGGAACCCTTTTTTAAGAAAATGAATTACCTTTTTTGAGGGTGCGGGGAGAACACAGTTTATTCAAAGTCAAGATGAGGTGAGCTGGGAAGAATTTGCCCAGCTCTACTTGGAGGATAACCAAAATTACTATTATTACTTGACACCTACATACTTTCTTTGACATACATTTCTTTCACTAGAAGAGCATAATAATCTACATGGGTAAAATTCTTGGATAACTCTTAGAATCACTGCTATTAATGAGATATTGGCTGTATTTATGGATACATACCCAGGAACACAAACTCAAAATCCATCTGCCACCAAGACTTATGCAATGTCCCTCCCACAGGCATAAATCAGCAACTGAGTTCAGGCCATTCTATGTCTGTTTTGGCATATTTTTAAAAACTGTAGGATCTGTTATTAGACCCCAGCAATCTTTACTGTAAATTTTTACACTGTAATTTGTGGAGTAATATTGATCCTGGTGACTGATGTGCAACTGCAGTTGCAACAAACGTCTTGATAAAACTTGCAAGTGGTGTCATACTCAGTTATTTCCACCAGATATTTTATCTATATAGGTTTCTCCTAATACTCCATCAATATAGCCAATTTTCCTACTGAGAGAGGGCTAAAAATTTTTTAACAAAGAAATTATAAGGTATATATAATCATGTCACTAAACAGTTTTGCATTCATTCAAACATACAATGTAGAATCCAAATTATGTCTAATTGCAGAAACACTAACCAGATTTTATCATCTTTGTTGGGTCATCTTCATCTAAATGCTCTAATGCAGTAACAAAATCATCCTCAATTGATGACACGGACTGATTAGTATCATCCTCCTCTGTCTGTGGTAGATCTGAAAGGTCCTTCTGTAATGAGTACATTTCCATGGTACATCTTATGCCAGCAGTGTATTTGTTCAGCAATGTAAATACAGAGTCAACTCCAAGCCTTGGAAATGAAGACAATCTCATCACACACAGTATTCGTGTAGGGTAATTCTTGGAAAAAAAGAGAAAAAAGTTAATGTAAATTTAATGAAATTTCTCAATTCTAAAATTGTCTAAATCCTGTCCTAAATTGCTACAACATACGTTAAAGATATAAAATGAAGTAAATGCTTCAAAATAATAAGCATACACTGAGGGAAATATTACAGGGAATATGCTAAGGCAGGGGTCAGGGAACATTTTTTTACCTTTTACCCCCCCAAAAAATTTATATACGCCAACATTACCCCCTTGATTTGAAAGGAAAGAAATCATACATTATTTGAATTCAAAATCTTATTGAATCTACACAGGCGGTGTACCATACTAGCAGGATATATCATCAGTATCAATGGCTGCCAGGTGATGTGCCGAACTAGCAGGATGCACCAAATTTAATTAAAATGTGCACTATTTTTGCTGGAACACATTGCACACCAGCCATGGGGTAATATAGGGACTAGTAAGGTGTCCAACGTGCCTAGCAAGTTGTATTAAATCTTTGCTAGCTCGCAGAGGATTTAATTATCATCAGTGGATGCCAGAGTGCTGCTAGCAATGACCTGCTTGCTAGAGACAGCAGAGTTTGGGGGGGGGGGTTTCCTACCACTTTAATCATACTGTGTGTGGTGTGCAAAATGGAACAAACCAGGCTAAAGGTTATGTCACTCTCTCTGGTGCCACAGTCCAACATCAAAGGACCAGTGCGCTGTTTTTTATCATCATCAATGGAAAACTCAGCAGTTGCCAGAGTATTGGAAAAGATCAGTCTACATCCCAATGCCAAAGAAGGGAAGTGCCAAAGAAGGCTCCAACTACCATACAATTGCACTCATTTCACACGCTAGCAAGGTTATGCTCAGAATCCTCCAAGGTAGGCTACAGCAGTATGTGGACCGAGAACTCTCAGAAGTACAAGCTGGATTTCGAAGGGGCAGAGGAACTAGAGACCAAATTGCTAACATGCGCTGGATTATGGAGAAAGCCAGAGAGTTCCAGAAAAACATTAAAGAAATGGGAGTGCCTGATTACCTTATCCATCTCCTGAGAAATCTATATGTGGGACAGGAAGCAACAGGCAGAACTAGATATGGAACAACTAAATGGTTCAAAATTGGGGAAGGAGTACAACAAAGCTGTATATTGTCTCCTTGCTTATTTAACTTATATGCAGAATACTTCATGTGAAAGGCTGGACTGGATGAATCCCAATCTGGAATTAAGATTGCCGGAAGAAATAACAACCTCAGATAGGCAGATAATACCACTCTGATTGCAGAAAGTGAAGAGGACTTAAATAACTTCTTAATGAGGGTGATAGAGGAGAGTGCAAAAAAACGGTCCGAAGCTCAACATCAAAAAAACTAAGATCATGGCCAATGGTCCCATCACCTCCTGGCAAATAGGAGGGGAAGATATGGAGGCAGCGACAGATTTTACTTTCTTGGGCTCCATGATCACTGCAGATGGTGACAACAGCCATGAAATTAAAAGACGCCTGCTTCTTGGGAGGAAAGCGATGACAAACCTTGACAAACCTTTTTTACCCGCCTTAATTCCAGCCTTCTGTTTTGCTTGTCTGTTCTTTTTTTCATAGTTCTGAGTTACTCTCTCTCTGTCTCTCTCTCTGTCTCTCTCTCACACACACACATCCACCCACCCTCCCTCCATTTTCTACATATTGTACATTTAAAGAAGCTTGATGAAGCCGTCAATCTCTTTCCCCTCGTTAACTGAAGCCTTTCCCTCCTCCTGCTTGCTTTCATTGATTGCCCGGGGCTGTGAAGCCCTAAACAATCAAGCAGGCTAATCTCTGATGTCTTAAAGAACTGATTTACAAGTGCCCTGCCGCAACCAAGGAAGTAACAGGGAGAGGTGACTTACAATTTGAGGTTTGGCTGCAGGGGATGGGGGGGTAGCGCTCTGCTCATTACCCCCAGGATTTTCACTTTTATCCCATTTGGGGTAAATTACCCCTGTTCCCTGACCACTGTGCTAAGGGAAAAACTACAATAAATTTCCCACAACAAAATGTAGAGTTCACGAGAAAGGCTCTTACAGCCTGGAACTCCCACTTAGGCCAATTCACACTTTTTATGTTTCAATTGAATCTGGAATATTGTGTCATATTAACAAGTTTGTTATGAAATGTTTAACTCTGTTACCTTTTTCTTAGGAATATCTCTGGTCCCCAATGGCTTATGTAGGTCCTTTAGAAAAATAACTTCATTTTCATGTAAAGTGCACAGGTGGAGTGATTGAAGAAGATCTGGAAGCTCACTTGACATAGCTGCTAACTCCTAAAACAGAGGGTATCTCAGAAAATAAGCTTATGCAAGAAAAACATTTATTTTATGTCTACCTCAGAACATGTCATTTTTCCCCATATGTCTGATGAAGTTGAATTATCTAGAAAAGCTCACATTAAAATATAATAGTTAGTCTTCAAGGCGCCACATGTTTTTGTCTTTTTTGTTTTGTTTTGTTTCTTTGGTTTGTACCTGATAAATTAAAGTCAAAGTACATGCAAATCACAAGTCATAGCGGATTTGTGGAAATTCTTTAATTGTCTAGAAAAGAACAGTTGAAAAACACTGAGCAGATCTGATGACTGTAAAGTACTTTGCTACCAGAATTGCAATAGAGTAGGCTCTCAGGTGGTCAACAACTACAGTGGTGCCCCGCATGACGATGATAATCTGTCCCATAGAAATCACTGTTTAGTGAAATCATCATCATGCAAAAACCATTTCCCCATTGGAATACATTGAAACCCGTTTAATGCATTCCAATTGGGAAAATACCTCGTTTTGCAAAGATCGTCCATAGCGCAGCCATTTTGCGAAGTGCCAATCAGCTGTAAAAATGGCTGTCCTGCGAAGTATGGGTCCAGAAAACACAGGGCAGCCATTTTGCGAAGCCGGCAATCAGCTGTAGAAATCTTCATCTTGCGAACAAACGGTTCGTGAAACACGGCCCAAATCGTCGTCAAGCGAAAATCGCCAATTGGAATGACTGTTTTACGAATCAATATAACGATTGCAAAGTCATCGTTATGCGGATTTGTTGTTTAGCGGGGTCATCGTCTAGTGAGGTACCACTGTAATGTTCTGTTAGGTTTGGCTACAATCTTACACCACTAGGCTCCTAGTTTTGCTGCTCCACACTGTTTAATAAAGTGCATTTAAAAGTGATGGAAAAGAATGTTCAGAAGTAGATGGGCGGAACTGCTCAGGTCATATTTGATTACCAAAGGAAAACCAGGGCACCAACAAAACTTGCAGGACATCTGCTGAAAAAAGTTATAAACGGTTATCAGGAAACCACCTATACTATGACTCTTTCAATCGGACAAGGAATTCAGACCCAGGGTTAGAGTTACAGTTAGGGTTAAGCCCCAAACCATATGCTTTTTGCTGCATCCATAAATGATCATTTCTGTTGCTTGTCATGATTAATCCTAAACATCCATGCAGAACCTGGATTTAATCCAGCACTATCAATTGGCATGATAGGTAATGCTTTATTGCTTTAATGGTTCACAACAGTAAGATACAAGGCACAACTTTGGGTGGCTGTGTAGTATTTGGTTATACCATTATAATTTATTTTTATTATGATGATTTCATTTTCTGGAGCTGCATAGTTTCGATATTTAGGTAGAGATTTTTAGCTTTACTATATCTTCTTATATTTTAGCTGGGGATCTTTTTCATTATTGTTGTTGCAACTTCCGTTTTTTTTCTTGTTGTCATCATGGTGGGGTTTACTTGGGATCTGGAGGGAGGAGATACAGTCGCAATAAATTCTGGTGGTGTTGGGTTGGGGAAAGTATGCTCTGGGCACGAAGGCCTTCCATTACAGGGGAACCTGGGACAGATAATTGGTGTCTGTCACACGTGCTGCTCTCTCTGCACTTAGCAAGAATATGGTAACCAGCTCTGCTGACCCTCCAGCTGAGGAATGCTAAGTCTGCTAATAATGTTTCATCTTATTCATGATCACATCAGTGATGAGAGATCTGACTTGGCTTGTATAATGGAGACCTGAGTCGGCCCTTTCCCAATGTACCCACGAAGATACTCCATTCAGCATCATGGCAAACCAGAGGGGCAGGATGGGTGAGAGTTTGCAACTGTCCACAGGGATTCCATCCACATCAGAAGGACTGCCATGAATTCAAGCCTGGGCTACCGGATAGATTTGAGGGTAGTGCTGGCTATAGCGCTCTACCCGCAACCCAGCTGTGGGTCTCTCTGCCAGGACTGACATAGTTGATTTCAGTGGCTGTGTTGAGGTCACCCAAACTTCAACATCCATGCCAAATCTGAACTGTCAGGAGAACTCAACATCCATTAATATCCATGCCAAATCTGAACTGTCAGGTCCAGTCCAGGAGTTCATGGAGTCCATGACCTCCGTAAGTTGATCCTAAAATATCATCAGCCCTACACATAAAACAGGTCACACACTGGCCCTTGAGTTTTCATCTGTGCAGGCAGAGAGTGATTTGGGGTTCCATGAGTTTCATCCCACTGTCATGGACACATGACTTCCTGTTGAGATTTATCGTGTTGATGATGACCCCTCTCCATAGAGAGAATGGATCTGTTAAAATCATCTGTCCTTGGAGGCTTCTCGACCCAAATGTGTTTCAGGAGGCCTTAGGAGGGTATCCAGCAGACCTGTCTGGTGACCCTGTTGAATAGATGGTATGTAGAGATGACTGGGATGATTGCTCCCAAATGCCTTCTCCACTTCAGAGCTTGTCCTGCAAGCCTGGTTTACCAGGGAGCTTCAAGTTATGAAATTAGATAGGACATGGCTGGAGACTAGGTGGAAGAAGTATCAGTTGGATCAAAACCTTGCTGCAATTAGGATATGACCAACACTTTAAGATCAAAGATAAAAATTAAGTTACTCGACAAGTGGAACTTTTTGAGGTGGTTTGCAACCTCATCCAGCCTGGTCAGTAATGGTCTTGGCCTGGTTGGTGATTTCATCAATGATCAATTGCAGCCTTTCTAAAATCTAAAACTGAGGCCATACAGATTGATCTTGAGATCAGCATGGCTGATCAGGTAGAGATCACCACTGCACTTTCTCTCTCCTCCCAATTGGTTCATTTTGACCCTGTAACATTAGAGGAAGTATCCAGGGCACTGGGTAGCTCCAAGTCAACTGCCTTTCTGCTCAACCCTTGTCCTGCATGATTAATAAAAGCTGCCAATGGGGCTACAGTCAACTGGGACATGAATGGGACTTTTGGGGGAAGTCATGGGTCCACAAAATCCTAAACCCCCTTGTTCTCTGACAAATTCTCAGAGCTGTACCAACTTTGGAACTCCTATGAGTCCTCCTCCTGTATTCAATGGTAAAATTCCACCTGTAGTGAACTGGCATAGCTCTGAATGTTGTAACTGCTTAGCCACACATTGCTCAGCCTCTTCTGCTCTCAATTTATTTTCAAGCCAGCTACACTTCTGGACTGTATTATTTCACCTCCAGCACCTCTGAACAATATAAGGCAAATCTAAAGGCTCAGTTGATTAAGGGCACTTATGCAGGCACCATACCTTAGAAGCAACAGCAGTTTCATCCTCAAAACACAGAAATGTGACCTGGAAGAGAAATATATATATGGAATAAAAATATATAAAAGGTTTAAATACATAGCAAATACATAACACTCAAAAATTTCTCTACTAGATAGCCTTTGCCTCTACAACAAAAGGATATAGATAGGTGTCCACTATTAGTTAGCTTCTTTATGCATGTTATATAGGATTTTTTAACTGCTACTACACAATATTCTTCTCTCTTCTGTGCAAAAGACAAGTAATGGGGACGTGTATTACTGTCAGAATTCAAGAGGACTATGAAAGAATTCCACACTGTTCTTCAATCCCTGCAGACATTCTTGCATACCACTTTTAAAATAATGGTAAAGGAAACTTTTGGCAAAGTAGTGTGAAGGGATAATGCTGTGTTTTGGCCATGAAATCTAACTCTTATTCTAAATAATCAGCACAGCAGTACCTAACAGAGGATAGGTCCAGTGTCTACTTAAGCAGCCATATAATGAAAAGCAATCAAAAGGAAGATTTATAAACCAGCTTACAACTTAGCTTATCATAAGAATACCTTTGAAAAGTTCAGTGTTTTTTCTAAAATGTGAAAAATGATCAGTGTTTTCAAAATAATGAATCATGCAATGAAAATAATACAAGCTTCCATTTCCTGTAGTAGAATTTGTATAATGTTCTACCAGAAACCATTTATACATTATATTTTGTGAATAAAGCATAATCAACACTGGCTACATCATCCACCACATCTGAAAAAAGCTTTCAAATATATATAAAAATTGTGCCAACACAATGCCAAACCTCATTAAAACTGTCTTGCTCTTCTTTCAGTTCTTCTGTTGACACTGTGCATAATTCTTTTTGACTTTGCAACAATGCCTTCACAGGAGGCAGTAAACATTCACTAAAGTTCTGGAAAAAAGAAAATTTAACTCAACAGGACATTTAAACACGTTTCATATGGAGAATTGCTTCAGCTTATATCTTTGCAAATCGTCAACCATCAAGTTAAACTTTAAATTAACCTGCGGAAAAAATTATCAAATTCCCAGATTACACCCTGAAACCAATTGGTAGACTTGGCAAACCCACAGACACAATCCAGTGGATCTAATCAACTTGACATGGCACTTCTCCCCTCTCTTCTGGTTCCCGTCTTATCACAAGCCATGTCGACTTGGCATGAGATAGTGCTAAACAATCTGTTGTTTGCTTCTTCAATTTATATCCTTCATTCCTCCCAAGGCAGTTTTCAATGTGAATTTCAAAAACAGATACAGTGGTGCCTCGTATAACGAGTGCCCCATTTAACGACGAATTCGCATAGCGATGGCATTTTTGCCATCGCTTTTGCGATCGCATACCGATGTTGCCTATGGGGAAAAATCGCTTTTCCGAAGGAGCGCTCCCGCCGCTCAGCTGGGGGAAAATGCCTGCGGTAGCCTTCGAAGGACCCTTCCGAAGGGTCCTTCGGAGGCCACCGCCGGGATTCCCCTTCGGAGGGGGCATTTTCCCCGAGCTGAGCCCCGCTGCTCAGCTGGGGGAAAATGCCTGTGGTAGCCTCAGAAGGACCCTTCTGAAGGGTCCTTCCGAGCATCCGGATCCCCCCACCCTCCCACCCTCCCCCCCCGGCTTGGATCCGAGCCACGGCAGCCAC